GGAAATAACAGGGTTAGGGGCTGCAAAGTGAGGACCAGTGGGAACAGGGGAGTAGGAGAGGGAAGGGATAGGGCCAGGGAACAAACAGGTGGAAATGAAGGGGAAACGGGTGAAATGTTCCTGCTAAACACTGGCTAGGGAGACAGCTGCATGAAGGCAGGGGCCTGCTTTTCAAAGCACTGCACTCACCGACATTGAAGCTGCCACTTTCTGCTGTTGCTGCTGATCAATCTTGAATAGCTGCACCTTAGCTCTCTTAAGGAGGCTAAACATTTTTTCCTCCACCCCAGACAGCGGCAGCGGACCTAGACTTGCACCAGGGGCCTTCTCCAGTGGTGGTGTCTGCTGCGGTGATGGAGGTGGCTGCAGCTGTACCTGTGGCTGTACTTGCGGTTGCTGTGGTGGTAGTGCCTGGGGTAGGAGCTGTGTCTGCAAGGCCTGTGGGGGCTGCTGGAGCTGAGTCTGAAGCTGCTGCCCATTGCTCAGAGCTGGAGTCCCATTGTGGGGCACCTCGACCTTAATAGGTGTGGTGACCACAGGGACAAATCGAGGCAAGCTGAGGTGGTTGGTCCGCCCCACTGCCCGAGGCTCAGGCTCAGCTGGAGAGTCATCAGCAGGAGGCAGCTCTGGCTCAGGGGTTTCAAGAGCCCCAGGAGGAGGAGGAGTAAGCACCGATTCATAGATCTTCAGGTGGGCTTCACTTGGGGTAAACTGAGGGGCCCGAAGGAGTAGGGGCCTCCGGGAGGGAGTGGCAGGGGTGGGTGGTGGAGATGGTGCTGGTGGTGATGAGGCTGGTGGAGGAGCAGGGGGAGGCGGCGGCAGCTCTCGGGTTAATGAAGTCCAGCGAAACGTGGGTTCTCTTAGGATAGACCGTCTCTTCTCAGGGAGTGGGACTGGAGTAGATGGGGGAGTTGGGACACGAGGTGGAGAGGGGACTGGTACTGGCTCCTGGGGAGCAAGTGGGGAGGTCGCAACAGGGGGTCGAGCAATAGAAACCTCCACCTTTGGAGGCTTGGGAGGGTCTTCGTCCATAAATCGCCGAGGTGTCTTGATAACACGGGAGGAACGGGCACTCACCACAGGCATAATAAACTGCCGTATATTCTTCAAGAAGGTAGTACTTTTGGGGGCCACAGTAGGACTGTCTTCCGGAGAGCTTCCTGTGGTGGTGCTGGGGTTTGGAGTGGGAGAAAAGGTACCCTCTGGAACTGACCGAGCAGCTTCCCGCTCTGCCCGTTGGCTAGGAGTCAGGGGAGGCCGGCCTCTTTTCCTAGAGCATGTAGCTGGCACCACAAGAGGAGGAGACTCTTCTTGTTTCTCTGAGGCTGGGTGTGGGGAAGGGGAAGGTGGGGGAAGAGGAGAAACTGGGGGTGGCAGAGGGGATGCTGGAGGTGGAGATAGTGCAGGGGGTGGGAGAGGAGGTGGTGGTGAAGGGGCTGGAGGAGTCAAGGGTGGTGATGACAGCTTTGCCTCTTCCTTTTCCTTGACTAGCATCACTTCTTCCTCAGTCACAGCTGTCTCAGTCTCCTCTTCTTTGTCCTCAGTGTTGTCTTCCTTTTCTTCCTTTTCTTCTCCCTCCTCCTCCAGTTTCTGCTCTGGTTTCTTCCAACAAGGGTCCCCTTCCTGTTCATCTTCATCTTTTCTTTGGGGGGTATCCTGCCATTTTTCTCCATGTTGACTATGACCCTGACCTGATTCTAGTCCCTGGGACAACTGTCCCATCTTCACTTTTTTAGCCTTTGAAACAAACTTGATCATAAGGGGAAGTCCACCTCGGCCTCTGCCCCTGCCTCCACGGCCTCCTCTCCCAGGCTGTCCTCCACGTTTGGGGGTTCCAGGTCCTGGACCAGGTCCCTCCTTGCACTTCCAGCTGCCAGTTCTGTTCTTTACTGGAACCACAGGAGGTGGAGGCTCAGGTTTAGGGATTGTCACAGCCGCCTCTGCTATCACTACTGCTTGCTGCTTTTTCCGACAGGGGCCTGCTGGCCGTCCTGGAGGTCGTCCCCGAGACCGACGGGGAGTAGAGGGTTCACATGCCCGGCTCCGGGGGGCTTGGGGTGCCTGGGCCCGCCGGAGAAGTTCAGTCAGTGCCTGCACCATCCGTTCTGTGCCCTCCTCACCCCGTTTCCGAGAAGAGGTCTTTGGGGGACCAGGAGCCACATCTGCTAGGCGAGGAGGAGGAAGGGGGGTCGTCTTATGCTTTCGGCCCCGACCCCGAGGGGCTCGACCTAAAAGGAAAACAGTTATGGGGAGTTGGGTCAAGCTGGCCCGGAGGACTTAATAAAAACACCCCAGAAGGGCAAGGTTCTAAGTCTTACTTGTCTGTTCCCCCAAAGCCCCAGCTAGCTTGGACTCTGAACACAGGACACACTCAGGAACTGGTGGAAACTAGGTGACCGCCAGAGAGAGCTGACACAAAGGGCAAGACCATCCCCGTCAAACTAGAGAGAGGTAGAGCTTCCCCATCACTCACCTCGTTGGGACCGGAGCGCAGAGCGCAGGGAACTGGGGGCCACATCTTCATCTGAATGAAAACCCTGAAATTCCTGATTTAGGGGACCAGGGGTGAGGGGAGAAAGAGCAGTCAGTGCCAAAGCCCTGGTTCCACCTGGGTTTCAGGTGTTGAGGATATAATACTTAGCTTCCACCTTAAGGTACTCCAGCTTATTTACCAAAAAACTTAACAGACTGAGGCCAGGTCAGAGGAAATGAAGGCACAACGTATTTTTGAACCAGACCATACCAGCACAGCCTTCGGTGGGTCACTGGCCCAGAACACTAGAGGGTCTCTCTCCTTAAGAGAAGCAGTAGGCATTACACTGAGGGCTAATTCCAAATTAATACAAAGCAAGTCCTTCATCTACACCCGTTCAGGGCATTCCTAAATGGGAATGGGAATGCTGTGGGGTGGGGGGAGAAGGTGGAGCAGGTGGTTTATCACATTAGAAGCCACTCGGAGCCCTCAGAGGACTACTAGCTCTCCTAAGCAATATAATCCACACATCCTTCTCCAAAAGGCTCAGAGGGCTAAATCACCAGCTGCACTCACCCCAGACTCAAGACACAGCTCTCCTTCTATCCCTCTTCAACCTGTGCCCGAAGAATCCTCCACCACTCTATCTTAGAACCAAAGAGCAGCAGGGACACTGGGAAACCAGGGATGTGTCGCGGCTTGTGAGGCCCAAGAAGGCAGCCTGCAGGTAAGAGCCCATGAGGCTCTAGTCCTGGTCCATTAAGGCCACGCTGCTGCTGTCAACCACCACTGGTCGAGCATGCAATCCCCGTGGCCCCTTCACCCACTCCTCTTCAGCTCTGCCATTGCTACCGCGAAAGATCAGCTCAGGACACCAGCAGGGCTTGCCTGGAGCCCAGGCGTCTAGCTGCAATCAGGTTTTCCCTGACCACTTTCAAAGGCCCTAACCGCCCGAAAGCTCCACGCAGCCTGCCTCCTTCCATGCTTATTTCCAAGCGTCCCGAGAACCCCACTTGTCCACAACACCCTTCGAAGCTATCCGGAGCCCTGCAAGCCCCTGGCCTCCGCCCCACCCGGCTCAAGAGACGCCTCCGACCGCCTCACCTCCTCCTCGGATTCCCCGTCACTGCTCTCCTCCTCCGGCATGCAGCCTCGGTTCGGGCCCCAGCCCCGGCCCCGGCCGCGGCCCCGGCCCCGCTGAACGCGCGGACCAGCCCACA